TAGTGTCCAGAGCAGGGAGACACTGCCAGGAGCCAGGCCAGTACATCAGGAGATGTGGATGAGGCCATAGGAGGAGCAATGCTAAGAGCCCTGAAAAATGACCTCCAGTGTGCCACAAATGTGCATGTGATTCCATGAGGGTTGTGTGAGGGCCTGACATCCACTGGTGGGGGTTGTATTTACAGCCAAACACCATGCAGGACATTTGGCATTTGCCGGAAGACACCAAGATTGGCAAATTTTCCACTGGTGCTCTGTGCTCTAAACAGATGAAAGTAGGTTCACACTGAGCACGTGTGACAGACGTGGCAGAGTCTAGAGATGCTGTGGAGAACGTTTTGCTGCCTGTGGGTCAGTAATGGTGGGGAGTGGCATTACTTTGGGGGGCAGCAGAGCCTTCCATGTGCTCACCAGATGCACGTGTAGTGACGTAGACGCCGGCCCTGAAGGGGGTGTGGATTTCAGGCAAGTGCATTTGATTGCCCTGTAGCACCTGAAGGAAGCAAGTAAGACAGAACAAGATAGGAGGGAAAGGTGGAGGCCAGCTGTGCTCTGTGCAGTAAATACATCAAGTCCTGAAAAGGGCTGTTCTCCACCCACCTTAGCCCCTGCTCCCTGACTCCTTACCTAGTTTTAGAAGAATGCTTTGGGACAATAGGACTGTCCTGGTCCTTGAGTACCCCCCTCCCTGGGCCCACACAGGTCCTGACAGGAGGACAAAAGTGCACCTTGCACCTCTTAGCAGCACCCTGGGGGCAAATACCTGAGTACCTAAAATACTTTTTAAAAAAAAATTTTTTTGAAAGGTGTAAAGAGTTACATGATGAGGTGAGGGGAAAAAAACGTTTTTAGAACGGGTGAGTTTATGCTGCATTTAGGTTCGTGGAGATGCAGAGGTAAGTAGACATTTGTGTCTGAACAGAAGTTGTTCTCTGAATTGATGAGTTTTCAGAAGACAGTAATCATTAAAGCAAGAAGTTTCTGCTCTGTTAGCATTTGGGGCCACATTCCAACATCTATTCTGATATCTCCTCTTGCCTCATGTCACGGCTCGCCGGCCTCTTTCCAACTCATCCTGAGTGCTTTGTACACAATCAACCCTGACACTCCCCCTTCCTTGCACCACGTTTAGTCCTAGTTTGCTCACAGCTAAAATATTTAGTAGTTTCAATAAAATGTATTTTTTAAACAGAATGTGTAAGAGACAATTAGGACAACTTTATTGTGAAATCAAACTTAAAATGTTCTCTCTTCGAGCAGCTTATGTCTTTCTTCCTTATTTGGGTGGAGATGTTGGATAATTCAAACGTTTTGAGCCACTTTTGATTCCCTATTGGTGAAACCACAAGAACTTTACACCACTAGGCTAAGATCACATCACTTAAACTCTGGAACTTCTATCAGATATATAGATATCAATGATATCTACTTATCAACTTACTGTGTATGACTCATCTTTGCTCGTCAATCTTCTGGTGCTGAGCTGTAAATGGCAACAGCCATGAAACTCATGGCAGAAGTGTGAGAAGGTCACTCTTGTATTTGGAAAATGGGCTGCAGTACCCAAGTTCGGCCACAGGATGTCGTTCTTGCTGCGTTCTTACATGATGCACCTTTAAACTTTATGTTGTGCATTATTGTGCTTCATATGTCTACATTCCCTACATCATGAGAGGCCACCCTAGAGGGGGTTGAGGTTATCAAACATCTAACAGCTTCTGCTGTTTGGAGAAATAGAGTTTACATCCTAGGGCTGATGGGCCAATGACGAGTCCCAGTTCAGCGCCAACTTCTAAACAGGATTTGTGATTATTTACAAGCACTAACATGTTTGTTTTCTACAGCCCTGTATGCCTACAGCACACAGGAGGAGGTCTATGTGGTTCAGAGCTATGTTCACAGCTCAGTTTGTCACAAACCTCCACCACAGTCAACACATCTCATGTTTTTATCCTTTTGTCCCTTTATGGCTCGTCCTCTCCCCTCTGACCCAGAGGGACAGACAGTCTGTGTTTCAGAGGAAAAGCTTAACACACATTCACACACACACACACGCTATTGAAGGGGACAGCAGGGGTGCGGAGGTGAGCAGGAAATGGCTTGTACCCTCTCCTAGAGCCCATTTCCTGTCCTTGGGTAAAACTGCTTAATTTGCTGAGATTTGAGCACTTTGTGTGCAACGTGTCATGCAGTCCTGGACATCTCTGAAGGCTGTGACAATTAAAAGGAATTTTCAAAGAGTAAAGTGTTGTAAGATTTAACAGAAACTCCCTTGTGTGAGTTTGTGTGTGCATGCGTGTGTGAAGTCCATTGACTGCTGTTGCAGCATCCACCACCAGAGCATCAGACTGCCTTCACAGCACATGTCATTGATCACGTCTGCATCGGAACATGTGGCATTCCTCTGTCAATTCAACCCCCCACTGATCTGATTAATGGCCTGCAAACAGAAACACCCATTCTTCTGCCAATACCCCCCACCCCCGCTCCTTCAGTGTCCAGTCTCTTCCTCTCCTTCCTGTTTCCTCCCATCGTACCCAAACCATCACCTCTCCTGCAAACTTCACATCATCTCTTTCCTCATAAATGCCTCCTCACTTTTTACGGGGTGGCAGTGCAGGCCGGAGCAACACTACGACTTTTATAATGTTGTTTTTGTGAAGGCAGAGCTGGAGGAGAGGTTATTAAGACAGCTCCAGAGGAGAATGTTGGCGCTGAGGTTTGGGGCAATTGTGTAAGAGCTCTGCAGCGTGTAAGAAGGTTGGAAACTTTATCCCAGTGACTTAACCCTCCTGGCTTGAATGTGATCCTCCAGTGAATCAGTGCTACAAACCCTGACAGCTCTGATTTCAGCAATACACTCTCTCCTCCTCCTCAGCGTGGACCACTGTGACCCCCTGGCAGAGATGCACATACTTAACAGAGCCCAGCAAACTCACTCCTATGGTCCTGTACACAAACCAGATGCTTTTTATTACACCCCCCTCTCTTTCCTGATCTTCTAATGCATCCAGTAATAAACTCACACTGAGCCCCCAGAAAGAATATTTGGTGTTGTTTCCAAAATGACAAACAAACGGAGAAGGAAGTGATGCCACCATCAGCGTCAGCCTGAGGAAGTTTGCAGCCGCAAACGAAACGTAGCGGGAAAACAGGTAAACAAAACTGCTCTGTGTTTTAAAAAAGAACTACAGCATGGAAATGCATCTGGTTTCAAACTCAAACTGAGCTTTTATCGTGTTAGATTTACTTTTTCTTTTAAATTTTTAAGAAGTAAACCAATAAATATTCTGCGACGTATTTGATTATCTTAAGCAATCTCTTGTCTTTGTAATCCGGTCAGCAAAGCATTATTTACTCTTACAGGAAAATCTTATTACTTTGATTTAGGAGCAAACTGCAAGAACAACAGTCAGCGGCGCCCCTCCCTCTGCCAGACTCTGGGATTGGATGTCTGTCCCTAATGGCTCAGGAATGTTAAATTAGTCAGGGGGCCGAATGTGTGACACCGCAAACATTAAAGCACTTTAAAGGGACCAATATGATACCAACAAATGTTAAAGAAAGGTGACAGCTTTGGTGAGCTCACTGCCTCAGAGCCACAGGGACAGACTTCCTCCTACACTCCATAAACCAGAAAAATCCCCCCCCCCCCCCCCCCCAGCCAGATGCCAGAGTTTGATTTCAAAACATCTGAAGAGAAATGATTGTTTAGTTGAATACTTTGCAGGGGTACAGTTGAGAAATCTCAAAGAGAAATGTGATACGTCTCTATAGGATCATTTTAAAAACTGTATTCTTCAGCTAACTGACAGTGCTTCTGTGACGTCACCACCTCGCTGACTCACCGCCTGCGTAGGCGTGAAGCAGCTACAACTCAAGAAACTTTGAAGGATGCCAAAGCAGCTGCTGCTTAAATTTGCAACATTAACTTTCTCATAATCTAAGAAAAAATACATAATCTTTATGTAGAAACTGTATGTGTGAAAAGATAAAAACATATGTTAAAGCTGCTGCCATTGGCTCATTATGGTCACCGTGGTAACCAATTTTTTTCTGACGGTAACTTTTATAAAACAGATAGAAATGCAGACTAAGCCTCAAACTGTTGCTGAGCAAACTTTACGTTGGGTCACTGGACTAGAAAAAGTTTGGTTGCATTTGTAAAGAAAGTGACACGGGTTTGCCAAAATCCCATTTTTGTTGTTTTTTTTTTTTATTTCTTCCATGCTTGTGGTCTTTTTTCCATGCCATTCCATTAACCACTATTCCTAATTCACATTTTAGTGTTTAATTTGCTTTTCTAAGCTGCAGAGCAAAATAAGGGATAAGGCAAAAAATTTGCTCTTAATAAAGCGTCATTTGTGTGTGTGTGTGTGTGTGTGTGTGTGTGTGTGTGTGTGTGTGTGTGTGTGTGTGTGTGTGTGTGTGTGTGTGTGTGTGTGTGTGTGTGTAGCCTTTAGGACGTTGTTTACTTTGAGCAAGCTAAGTCATGCAATCTGATCTTTTTGAGAGCCTTCTCGAAGTCCCCCCTGACTTACACTCACACACACACCTTTCAACACAAGGCTACTGGAGGAATTGTTGTTTCTTCACTAGGACATGCTGGCGTCAGTGTATGAGTGAATGAGTCAGGGGGGCAGCAGGGATCGAGGTCATGCAACCCACCCACCCACACCTGAGCAGAAAGTTGATTCTCAGCTAATTTCTCATAATTTCTTGACTAAATCTTGCCTCGTCTACCCTTCTCCCTCCTGAGTCCACCTGCACTGATCCTGCATTCTCCACGCTTCCCGAACAGGCTGGCAGGTGTGTGCAGGTGTTCCTCTTATCGTTCATCATCGTATAAACCTCTCTCCTTGACGCACACCAACCCATACAAGAGCACACAACTCCATTTTCCCATTCACAAACTGTCACGCATGTCCTGGTGAACTTTGCATTTCAACACAATGCCTGTTGAATTTTTTGGTGTTTAAATGAAAAAGTCAAATGAAACATGTTTTTTAAAAAGATTTTATTTACAAATGGCAGAAAAATGTACAAAAAAAACAATTTTAACAAAATATTTCATAAAAAATTGAGATGAAATGTCATTCAGAAACAAATTTCATGTCCCAGAGCACATTAGTGTCTCTGCCCATTATGAGGAACTACCAGAGCGGGTGTTTTGTGTGTGTCACCTGTCGTTGAGGTAGCAGCTATCATATCTCTCAGCACCCTGTCTCCATGGTGCACCATGCACAGACAGCTGTCTCAACACCCACACATCGTGCATGTATAGCGTAGTGAGGAATGACATGCCTGCATACACACACAAACACACACCCAAGCAGCTGCAGCATGACCGGAGTCCCGGACCGGCCGGCACCAATGAAGTTTCCAGGGAATTAACTGCATGTTCAGCTGCCCTCAAATCACACACACACACACACATGCACGCACACACACACACACACACACACACACACACATGCCATTGTGACCTCAAATTTGACTAACTGACTGGTGACAATAAGGCACTTAATATTTCACAAAAGCAGAGGTGCATTTTTGCCTGGTCTCTGGACTCACTCTCATTACAGCAAACAGAACCAACAAGCAGCTACAGCTGGATCACCAGAGCCAGTTCTGGGAATGTGAGTCTATGAGCCGGGACAACAGCCAGAAGCACAGTGTTTGTGCAGCAGAGACATGCGGCTGAAGGTCCGTGAGCAGGAGCCACACTGGTATTTCTTCACTTCAGAGTGGGTCTGCAGGTGTGCACGCAGGTTGGAGCGATCAGCAAAAGCCCGGTTGCAGTGTTGACAAGCAAAAGGCCGTTCTCCTGGTGGAGAGAAGAAAACATCAGCACCAAGTGATTGTTTTTCTAATGATCTACAACAAAAGACACCAACATAACAAAAGAACACAGGTTTTGTTTTTCATGCAAACCAACCGTGAGGCTGGGATTAGTTTGTGTCCTGCTAAGCAATAACATTTGTTTGCACGTCAATAAATATCAAGGTGCAACTAGCTGCTAGATTAACAAAGAAGCCTTGTGAAACATGGAGCATTGCAGTTCACCTGTGTGTGTGCGAATGTGTCCTCTGAGCAGCCACGGCCTGGAGAAGGCCTTCCCACAGGTCAGACACACACACGGTAGAGTGTGTGAGCGAATGTGCATCTTCAGAGCTCCCAGGCTGGTGTACTCCTTGGGGCAGTGTTTGCAGTGAAAGGCAGGACGTGCAGAAACCTCAGGAGGCATGGAGGTGGTCTGGAGTGGTGGGGCAAGCGGGGAGAGATGCTGGAGGTGGTGGGACGTCTGATGGTGGGAGAGTGCGGATAGGCTCCCATAGCTCTTACTGCAGCGGAGACAGAAGAAGATGTGCTCGGCCACATCTGGACTCGGGGGATCTGAAGTACGTTCTCCATCATCCTCTTCCTCACCACTGCTACTGGAGGGAGAGCTGCTGAGGTCCAGAGGGCGCAGAGCTGGTGGAGAAAGGGACACTGGGGTGATTGGGGACAGAGGTGCGGGCAGGGGATCCATGGTTTGGTAGAAAGGGCTGCTGGGATGGCAGGTCAGGGCAGAGATGTTGTTGTGATTCGGAAGTTCAGCTCGCGGAAAGCTTTCTGGGACAAAAGCTGAAAGCAGAAACGGAAGAGTAGTCAGGTGGGTTAATGCAGGTGTTTTATTACTGTTGTCTGCATTCACCACAAGTGTGTCCATCACCTCATGTGCCACTACTTCCCAGAGATCTACACCAACCTTTTAAACAATAAAAACAATAACTCACCAGTTTGGCTGTCCAATTGGCTCTCCTTATAATAAGGTTTTTTACTGGAAAAATACTTTTTCACAAGAAAAGATCGCGGCATGTTGAAGTCAAGTTTCTCCCGAAATTATTTCGAGAATAATACGTCAGCGTCCGAGTGCGCGTGAGACAACTGCAGCTTCAGCTCGGACAGGGAAAACTAATGGAGAACAGTCAGTCTTGTTGCATGTCTCCCGGTAAAGTTTCCAGCTCATATAGCAGGGACAAGCAGCGGGATGGGTGGGCGGGTCTCCGCCCTCAGACACACCCCGCGCGCCAAGGCGCCACCGTCCCTCGCCACAAGTGCCAAATGTGACTAAATGTCTGCCTGCGCATTTCACGGCTCAGTTGCGGGTCTCCTTGCAATAGACACACTCGATAAAGAGCATTTATTCACCCATGATTAACTTTAAACCAGAATATCAACAACACGATGAAGAGGATGGGGTTAGATTTTAGTAAGAAAACGGTGCGACCCTGTGGAGTGGAGGGAGCGTCCCTTGTGAGCATGCAGGTGTCTCAACTGTTAATTCTGCATTTAATGGCGCACACTTCAAAGTCAAAGCAAGGAATACCTGTGCAAAATCAGCGCATCCTTGAGTTAATTTGATCGTTTTCCTTTGTTTCAGCGGAATATGACAGCAAAGTGTCATTTAATGAGTCCTCTGATGTCCCGGGAGCAGGCTGCCGCAGTCTTTAGCGCACGAGGATGTGAAAAAGACATTTTATTAAGTAGAGGACACGGTCTCCTCTCTTCGCTTCCTTTCTTCTCTCTCTGCAGGGAACACAGGTGCGAATAGATGCGCCACTGTTCTCCAACTTGTTCTCAGCGTGAGAGGAGGTCAGAACCGAGCGAGGCGACATGAGGAACCAATTGCCTTCAGGTGCATGCAGAGCGATGAATGAGCTGGTGGGACATGAAGGAACACAGCAGCCTTTCACGCTCAAATTCGACCTAAAATCACAATTTTTTGGGGGGAGTTTTCTCATTCAATGTCGCAAACTCTCGCGCGATTTGATGCATTCAAAATTATAATTTTCGTTCATTATGAACTCAAATGTGCCCCAACTCTAGTAACTTTAATATCAAAATGAAAAACTTTAATTATTCATCAGATTTTGAATGAACTTTTCTTATGCTGAACCTTCTGATGGCCATCTTTAAATTGATCTTCATCTAAACCAATTAATTTGCTTTCGTTGTATTAAAATGCATCTAATTCATGAGGTATTTTGTTGTCAAACATGCAGACAGGTGAAAACATCATGATATGATGTGCTTATCCTTCATATGATCAGAAATATTCAACAATCAAATGCATGATGAAGGACTCTGCATGCATTAATCAGATGCCAGCCATCAGACAGGAATGTCTGTCTTTCGAGGTGTTGTTTAGCATCGCAAAAGGGACTCAGCTCCTCTTCCTCATGGTTGGCCCCTACACCTGTCCTTTGTCACTGCCTGCTCGGTAGTTCGCACATGTTTAGAGAGCTTGTTGACTCTGACGCCATGCAGACCAAAGGTCAGGAGGGTCAGGACAGCAGAAAAACAACAAGCAAACACACATGAAAGGTATCTTGCTTTTGCTGCTGAGGGCCTCTTTCATAATTCTGGTTCTCAAGCTTTAAAAAACTTACATGAAGCCAATAAAATGCTGAAAATGAGCTCCCCTCGTCCTGTAACAGAGTTTAAGGAGCTATGAGGGTGAAATCAGGTGATTACAGCCCTGTGGAGTAATTTGTCTGACAAGTAGACTGCAGCAGGTTGGGGTGACCTCATGACATGCTAAGAACATGGACAAAGGTTTGTTGCAAATTACAATTATTACTTTAATAATTATTTTTACATTGTATTCTAGCCTTTAGGCAGGAAAGCAGCTTTATTTATGTAGCATGTTTCATACACAAAGGCACACAATGTGTTTTCCATTAGCAAGAAGAGCAAGAACATTAAAATCAACATGAAAACACAATAAAAAACACAATTAAAACCATAAAAAAGGCAAAGTTAAAGGGTGAGCAGTTACAGTGCAGAAGGTGCAGCAAAAGAAACCTTCATTCAAAGGCTGATGAATACATGAAAGTTTTCAATTTTTATTTGAAGGTTACTAGAGTTGGGGCACATTTGAGGTCATGATGAAGCTGACTCCATCTCTGTGCAGCATAGCTAAAAGCAGATTCAACCTGTTTGGTTCTGATCTGAGGCTCTTCCAGCTGACTGATACCTAAGGATCCCAGAACCGTGCTGGAAGAGATCTAACATGTATTTTAGTCCCATGCCATTGAGTGATTTATAAACTAGTAGAAGCACTTTGAAATTGATTCTGTTGTTTATCAGTGTAGAGATTGAACAACCAGAGTGAGATGATCAGTTCTCTGGGTTGTTGTTAAGACCCAAGCACTCTAGCTTATTGTCTAAATGAAGGAAATATTTTCATTCTGTTTGAAAGAGGAAGCTATTTAAACCTCTCAGGCTCTTAATAAGTTATGATAAAAGGACAAACAACTAAGTCCTTCAGGGGTACTTCTGACTTAAAAAATGTGGAGGAACCAGGTAGGTAGGTTTTAACTGTTGCAAATCTACAATGCCTGCCTCCAGAGGGTTAAGAGTAGATTTGGGAAGAATTGAGGTAAAAAACTGCTGTTACTTCCGCTGCAGACACCACACTGAGCGTTTAGCATGTCCGTCTCAACAACCATAATTTAACCAAACCCATCCCTCCCAGATCATTCTGGGTTTTATTTTTTATTTTATTTCATTCTGAAGCACAAATCGATTGTCTCAAGTCCCATTGTTTGCCTCTATCCTGTGTTGTCCCTTTGCCGGTGATTGTAGTTGTCCTTCATGTACGTGAATTGAAGCAACTCCCTCCAAAACATCTATTGTCATGTTTTTCTCCGCAAATGCATCTTAGAGCCTCGTTTTACATTTTAAATCCTCTTTTTATAGTTTTGATCAGTCACTTTCTTTGTTACCATTCAGCACAGTGCAGACGACCAGTAACGACCCCTCAGGTGCATTTACATCCGGTGTTTGGCCTGAAAACACACAGCGTAGGTGTTTAAGAGAGGATTTTATAACCGTACACGTGTGCTTCTGGTGTGTCCAAAAGAGTAAATGTGAGAAAATCCTGGTTTTAGGAGGTTATTTGTGTGTTTGTTTACGTGTTTGTACATGCAGAACGAGGTGCGTGCGTTGCCCTGCAGTTCAGAGGTCCAGCAGGCCGAAGATAAGATTATCCCAGAGGAATGCAGAGCGGGTCAGATGGACACACTCCTACACATGCTCTGTAATTTGGACACATCTATCTGTTAGATGTCACACAAACACACATTTTGTTGTGTAAAAAGATGCTTTGATGTTGTGCAGACTGGACGTAAATATCTTAAAAACCTGATTGGGTGCTTTAAGTGTTACTGTGCTTTAAATTAAATTCAGGTTATACTCCTTGGAGACATTTGTAACTCAAAAATATTTTAATTCAAGGACTTTTGAAAAATTGTATTATCCTGATGATCATTTAAAAATGAAGCTGTGATCAATAATCCATTTTTTTTACATAAGAGGTCAAATGTTTCAATCAATACTGAAAACAACATTATTTACTCACATTTCAGTAATTGAAGCTAGAGGCTTTTTGTTCACTTTTTCATGCTTTGTTTTCATATGGCTACTGATCTGTTTTATTCTGTCATCAACTGGCAATTAATGATGGCTATTATTACATTTGTCCATGGTTTGTTGCACTGCAGGTTGGCTGAACAAACATTTGACAAGGCAGCTGACTGATTTATGAGCAAACACTCCCATTTCTCACAAAGATGGAAACATTTTTTATTTTTTTAGAGGTGATGATATTCCCCAATAGCTCAAAACCCATTGGTGGCTTATTTTCTAGTTATTTTTTTTTTTAATGTTTTATTTACAGAAATATAAATGTCCCCATTCTATTTACTGCCACACCAGTAAACTTCGTTGTCCTAAATAATTACTCATGCATGTGTGTTTTTTAGTTTTCTGAACTTTGGAGCAGCTGCTAACAAACAGTTTTACATTAATTATTTTAAATATGATTTTTATTTTTAATCTTTGAGTTTCAGTGGCATGTTGTGGTGCATTGAAATTACTGGAATTACTTTATATTTAAAATAATAAGTATTAAAAGACAGAGCTAAAATCTGCCCACAGTCACCTGAAATAGGTTGATTAGCAGGAAAATCACTAAATAAATTTTCAATTTAACAGAATAAAGTAAACTGGAATGAATCTGACCAAAAACTCAGTATATGTATAAATATTGATTCTGCTTTAGAAAGCTCAATATTCATCTGTTATATTACTTCAAAGTTGGTCAACAAAAACTTTATTTAGGGGCCTCTCATCACTTCAGAGATTTTCTTCACCGAAACAACTTGGCTTGTAAATGAGATGAGCTGCAGAATGGCGCCCCCATGTGTCAACAATGTGAACTACTCCAACTACTACTCCATTTCTACAGAGGAACGTGCTTACACAACTAAAAAACACATTTTATCAATGTTTTTCACAAAATCAGATATGGTATGGCATGATAATTAAAATATAAATATAATTAAACTAAATAAATTAAAATGTAAAATTCTATCAGTTGCTCATTCTGCACTGACTTTGGAGAGTGAGGAGACCCATCCGATATGGCGGCGATGCTCTCCAGCGCCCAATCGTCTATGAATTCATGTCTATGATGTCAGCATAACAATGCTAATCAAATAACCTGTTCGGTAGATTTCTATTAAATATATAGAAAGCCCAGATGATTAAGTTAAATGAAATAGGTACCATTTTTTTAATTCAGATCTGTTCTGATAATATTCTTCTTTATTCTACTCTTTTGTATGGTATTTATAGTAAGTCTTTCAACTATGTTGGTACCATTATTTATTATTGCACCTGACACCAAGACAAGTTCCTCGTGCTGTAAACGGACCTTTACTGGACAGTTCTGACTCTGATATGTTACTCCTAACCTTATAATTAAATTTAAAAAAAAAGCTTTTGTATGGGGCACCATTCATTATTGTAAATATCATGATCAGGTCTGGTCCCAAAATGTGTTTATGTAAATATCGCCAAATACTAATAGTCTATACTGTGCATTCTTGTTAATAAAACAGTACTAACGATGGTCATACGTTTACATTTCCATGAGCCCTCACAACCTTTTACTGCTCACACTGGACTAAAAACTTATTACCCAATCCACCTGAACAGGAACAGTGAAGTGAAATTGACATTTAATATTGGGCTTTTAACTATATTAAAGCAGAAATAGCTATGAAAAAGGTTTGTGCATTTGATACTTAAACATTCTTATTTATAATGTGTCAAAAGTCTTCTTTTTAACGGAAAGTCAATTATTTTATCTATGCTGCCATTATTTTATGAAAAAAAAAGTAATATTAATTTTACAAGTGAGTGTGAAAACAGTATATAGACACATGTACAATTTTTTGTGCACTCAGTTATGTCCACTACATTAAGGGGGACAGAGACTGAATTGTGCCATTGACACTTATTAAAACAT